TCAATAGAAATGATACCCAACCAGATGCGATGGCATTGACATGGTTTGGCTTTACTAGAAATGCCTCTATGAATGTCACTTTTAAGATGTCTGAACTCCAAGTTGTCACTGCGTGGACGTCCCTACGATAGCTCATTCATAATAATGGCTTTTGCCGTGTGTGTGTGTGCGACGGTAGTACTAATAAGGTGAAATTAGATGCCTGAGTCTCTCTTAATAAAATTATATTGCTACATAGGGGAAAAGTACTTAGTCGTTAGTAAAAACAAAACAATTACCAACACTCATGGTCAGTAAAATTACTTGTATCTGTCCTTTGATCTAAACAGGAGAATTGTAAAGCAGCAGTTATAGAAGTGTGGTTTTTCACTACAGGAAATGAGTTAAAGGGAAAGATTCGAGACATACACTTGTGCAAAAGCTTGTGAATCTTCGTAACTTTGACCGATGGCTCTGGACCACCTGTCAGTGTCAGGCAAGAAAACTCGGTGATCAAACATGAGGAACGGCTTCTGTGTTTCAAAGGTTATGTATACATTTTCTACTACGTAGGTCTTATATTTAGGCTGAAAACTTAATTGTTGCAGAAATTAGGTGAAACAAATTTCCCTAAACTGGTCGAATATTTATCAGCTTTTTTCTACCTACACTTCCCAGCACTCTTCTAGTGTCAATCGGTGGTCCTAGCTATGGGCAGAATTCAAACCCAGAACGGTAAGCAAAAACACATGTCGAAATTAAATCAAAAATAACGATGTTAGTAGGATTGTATACTTACACTTACCAGCGTGTAGGTAAGATGCAACGAGAGATAAATGGTGATCTCTAGAAAATACCTGCGATTTTCTCTTTTCACCTACTGCTCGGATGTGTTCGTGTGAATTGTGAAATACGTGCATGTCATTTAGCTTAAAAAAACACGGTACTATGGCATAGGAACTGAGTGTCAAATACAGCAGCAGATAGCATATCTTTTATGACATTAAACGGCCAACTATTTTGTGATATAGTGGACGTTAATTCCTCCTAAATTCTTGAAAATGCCATTTCGTCAGTCCTCACTTTTTCGCATCTAAGAAAGTCATCTTTGTCTACAAAGGCTCAGCCGATTGCGTTAATAAAAGGGGCACCAATGGTCACCAACCGAGGTCAAAATCAATTTTAACTAAAGGTTTCTGGTTAGGTATAGTTCAAAACCTTCTGATTTTGGGGTCTTTTGTCATTTTTAGGCAACGACGATGAAGAGATTGGCTTTCATGGGTCGGAATAATCGTGGAAGTATCACCCTTTGTTTCATAGGACTTAAAAAATAGATTTGGTAGACGAATACCTGTTTGCTCTTAGGACCTTTGAGCACTGAGCAGAGTCGCTCTCGAAGATGCGTCTCGAAGTCTTCTTTTTCAGCAATGTGTGCAGTTGCTAATATTGAGGGTACGACAAAGGATTGGAGGTCGGGATGATTGTCATACCAGTCCCACAGCAAAGGCAGCACCTTCTTATACCTAAAAGTCTGCAAACATTAGAGTTAGGCCGGAGTGCCTGCAAAACTAATTCAGAAATTAAAAATTGTGGAAGTCTATGTAACTGTCCAAAAATAACCAGTCAACTAGCGCTAACTGTGTAGCTTGATTAATACATGAGTGTAAAATGACAGAACGCGACTTTAAATTTAAAAAAAAATACTAAAAAACGAATCGTTTGTTTAGTTGTTTTAAATAGACTAATCAAAAAAATATTTTTTTGGTGTAGAGGTATGAAAGGTGCGAAAAACACAGCTTAAATCAGGTTAGCGCAATCGTTTATGGCCTACGAAGAAGGTTTTCCATTAACAACCCAGAAATCTATGATGGAAAAATTATAGGAAATTGGGTTATTTCTGAATTTTACAAACTAAAATAGGTAAATGATGACAGGAAAAAAATGCATTTTTCTCATTAAGCAAGGAAGATGCTTTGAACTAAGTTATGGGGGCGGTAAAATTAATTAATTAATTTTGTAGCAAATTCTTCAAGAAAACTTAAGTTATTATGGCTCAGTTCTCAGGAATAAACAGGAAACGGGTTTACCCCCTGAAAAGTGTAGTTACGAGGTCGGTAAGATTACAGGATAACTACTTACCTTTGTATGCATATATTCATTCGTTGAGAGGACGTTCAACCAGAAACGTTGATTAAATTTCAAGATTTGGTAATTTAAAAAAAATTGTCGCTTCGTCTTTATTATTTAAATTTTAGTTTTTCAATTTTTATTGGGACACGTTTTGATGGATTAATCGGGCATCACATTAATATGAATAAATAGATGACTATTTTTAAAACACGTGATTGGTGCATCAATTCAAGAAAAATAAGCAAACAGACGATGATATTGCTTTATCTAGTATGTATGTTTTAGGTACAACGTTGAAGATTAATTACGGAATATCTAAAGCGTTGATTTTACACTACATGATAATGCAATGTAATCCCTGAACTATGAGTAAATACTTGCTAACACGGTTTCACTTGAAAAAAAAACACTGAATGATTTTATCAAGGCTATATTGTTTTTACTAAGCAGACACTCCGCCACTTTACTTAAAACTTAAAGTAAACTTAAAGTAACTTAAAGTAAAATATTAAACTTTCCGAATCATGAGTAAAGACATGGAACTGATTTTTATAGTGATTTTCCCATTTTATTAATTTAATACTATTTAGTTAAAAATTAACGGAAAATAAACCCAGTGGTGTAGATAGTCCCTTTTCCAGAGTAAAAAAAATTTTATCAATTTTGGGGCTGTAATTTAGTTGTTTTCAAACAGCTTTGGCTGCTTATCAGAACCACAATCAATTCCAGGTCCCGTGAAACTTAAAGTTCAACTGATGCCTCTATGGACCTTTCGCGTTCGTTGAAAAATTAATTAAGGTTCATTATTTACATAAAAGAAAGCCCCAGATATCTAATATCTAATTTGTCCTTTGAATTTATCTCTGATGGGTAAAAAAGGGTTTTAATTTACAGTCACCGTGGTCGTCAACAATTTGCCTTGTCGAAACCAAAGTCCGAACCGTGTGTAGTCCTTCGGAAATTTAATTTGTAGTCAACTTGAAGGCTTACCTTTAAATTACTTAAAAAACGTGTATGACAAAATAGAGGTCCTTTGAGGGCTAGATCGCTTCTTACAACTTTCGTCAAATTAGTAGTGGAACATTGTTTTAGCAAAATTGGGCACCAAAGCAGATAAATTTGTGTAAAATCAGTAAATATAGAAAAGGCCGATCTAAATAAAATTAATGTTGTGGTTGAGTGAGGAGGTAAGAAAGGTGCTAGGAAATTCGCCACCTAATACGGCAGAAATTTAAAGTAAAGTTAAAATCTAGTTCTTCGTCAGACTATTAAAAGTGATTTGTAAAATGAAAATTGTTGATCAAATTTAATTTGGCCTGATACTGCAGCCCTGTTTGCTGCTCACAGAGGCACTACAAGAAGATGAACGTTGTCAAATTAAAGGAATTCTCACTGAAGAGGTCGCGAAAACTAATAATTAGAAAAATGATACGTTTGCCAAAGTAATATTTCGTAAACATTAATTCCAATTGTCATCTAAGGTTATAAATGAATTGAATTACCTCGTCGAATTCGGGGATTACTTTGGCGAAGCGGTTGAAAAATTCCTTTATCTGATTTTGTGAACGATTTTGAAGAGTTAACAGCCCTTCATAGGAAAGAAGTGAGGGCTCGTTGAAAAGTTTGAGCTAAATGGAATAGTTGGAAAAGACGTTAAATAAATTTTACTGTGGTTTCATTATGATTAAATTGGAGGTTTACCAAGGGAATCGTTTTTGAGAATTACTAAAACTCCAACGGATTAAAATATATAATTTAAATCCTGTAAAGTTGATCTGAAGAGTTTACCAGTTACTAACGACAGTAGACAATGGACTGAAATAATTTTATTCGTAAATTTCTACGTGACCTTTTAATGAATAACCTGAATTACTTAATTTATTCGAATAGAGTTGAAGGTAACTTGATCGGTCTTTAAGTCAAGCAACCCAACTCATCAGATGCCACATGACTTAATTCGGCATGACGACGGCAGCAATCAAAGCCTGCAAAGCAATAAATTATTAAAATGACAATAGGCTAAAAAATAGACTGAGTAATATGAAACGATGAACCAAAAGGTGCACTAACTGAGCATTTTGCCAAGCAAGAGGGCATCACCCGACCAGTTTGAATACAATGTACTTACGAACGTTCTTCCTTGGTGCCAGGCTGTGATGAGCAGTATAATCAAGTCTGTGTCTATCTGTCTCGGTAGTAAACGTATGGGCAAATTACAGCACAAAAAATCTATCCTTTAGTAGGTCTGTACGACTTCTACACTTTTGCTTAAAATTTCAGAACAATGCTTGCCAGTGAAATCTCATTATTTCTATAATTAGAAATAATAAAATACACACCTCTCCTGTCCATTTTTGGTTTTGCCAAGATGAAGAATCATTCAATACTTCAGCATAATTTTCGCATCCCAAAGTCCTTTAAAAGTGTATGTAATTTAGCCAAGTCCTAATCACTAAGTTTAAGTAATTTAAAACTGGTGCAAATTCTAATCCAGAGCAAACAGTCTATATTAATTAAAGACTTCAATGATTTGTAATGCTAAAACGTACTGGAAGATGGTCGCAGGTAGTTTTTAAACTAAAAGTTGCTTATTCGTCTTTGTATAGATTTAGCGCTTAAGCGAATCTTGCCGTCGGTATGTTGTTCATATGTTCTTTAATTATCTTTTGCATGTAAAGAAAACAATAATGCAAATAAGCGAGTTATTGAAAAACAGTTTGGTTTTTACTTGGAAAGCTAGCTTTGTCCTAAAAAGTCTACTCAGGATCATAAATCCACTAGGCCGTACATCAGAGTAGTAGTAGTACACAAGTTAGAAAAGTACAAGGAAATATTTGCTATTTGTTGCCCATCTGTTTTTTCTACCGGAAGAAAGTGTCCATTTCTGGATCTTTATTGTTTCTAATGCATGTGGACATTAGGATTTTTTAAGCAAATTTAATGGCTAGTAAAATCAATCTAATTATTTGTGCATTCAACTTTAGTAACTCGATAACGTGAAGTGCCGTTCTGGGGATTATTTAGAAACACACCTTTGCAAGCCCCCAACTGGATCAACAAGTTATCATTCATGTCTGGAATTTCGAAATTTTTGATTTTAATAAATATCAGCTTTCTTTTATGTATCTCAACATTTTGATGTGACCTTTATTAAAACACCCCACAGCAACCTTTTGTAACTGTTTTGAGATTAAGGCACAAGAAGGACTAGAATTTAGAACGACAAAAGCAATCAGCCCAATAAATATGATGAAGACGTTTGTGCTGCGCCTGCCACCACGTGTCTAACAACCAAAAGGCTGTTTTGTATAATTTTATCAAAAAAGGACACCCAATATATAATTAGGCTGCTGTGCGTTACGGGTTTACATGCAGATGTGGTTTTTCATTTGAAAGAACGTGTTACTGTGAAACTGTCGCATATTTTTAACAAACTGCAAGAATTTTTTAATCCATTCGAAATCTAATAAGGAGTGCAATTTCGTTGTAACATATCTTAAGAAAGAAAATGAATGCATCCTAGTTATTGGCCGCTACCAAAATACAATTAAGGTTATTGTGAGTGCACGTCAACAAAGTGGCAATGCGTTCTCATTTGTTCCACAAAATTAAATTAATTAACTTTCCTGGTTCCAAAGACATTAAACGGGACTGCAGCATTCGGCTGCTGTCCGATGAGGTGTAAAATATAGAACGCAACAGGGTTTGTGTTCTTTTTCTGGGCACGGTTTTGGGCCCGGTTGCCAACAACCGTCTTGATCTTTGAACTAGTCCTGCAGAAATTGATATCTAGAGCACCGGACTGACATTTACGTGTTGCGCAAATAAACTTAGGGAGAATTACCAGGCTCAAAGTTGCATGAGTAATGAGATGAACATTACTCTGTGTACAGTACGAAGTAGCTGCACAAACACATGTGGAAGCAAAACTGTAGCGAATTAACTCAAGCAATAGGTGGATTCAACAAACTAACAGATTGCATCTATAAATAAGCAACGATCAACTTGAGCATTTTTATGAAGTAAAAAGTCATAGTGATCGGCTTTTTGTTGTGGTTCACGTTGTAAGTGGCAAAATAAAGCATTTTTATCAACAGGTTATAGAACCGGTAAAATTTGGATACAAAACTTGCCAATGCAAGAAGTTGAGAGGTTGGCCTTTCTCGGACATCTTGACTGATCATTTTCCTTACGGGTTCAATCAGTGGCTTTGGAATACGATCGCTTATCTCTAGAAACCTTTGGGGAATCTGCAAAAAGAAGATCCAGGTGGCTTAGTGGGGAATTAATAAGGAATAACCAGTTGGTGACATATGATGTTGCGTATTTACTAAGCGAAATTACAAATAACCAATAATGACACAAACGCTCAATCGTTTGTACAAATTGGATTAATTTTGGCATAAGACATTTACGAATGATTTAGATTTATTTAAAGCGGGCACCTTTCCAGTTGACATAATTGTACTGCTTAAGAGCAAACGCAATTAGTTATTTTTATGAAAATTTTTAAGGGTTCACGCCCTCTCAATTTAGAGGATGACAGCTCAAACACGTCTCCGAAGGAAATTCAACTACCTGCCCACTTAGTGTAATTAACAAAAGATTATTTCCCCGATGTTGGGGTTTATGCTCGCCGCTTTGTTTATTCGTTGTGGTCGCCCTTATCTAATTGGCTCGCTCCCCCTTACATAGGTTATTTATCTTTATTGAGGTCAACGTCGACTGAGGTGTGCACACAAACAGATAACTTCATTTATTTACTCGACGTTTTGCTTGAGAAAACAAAAAAACTCTAAAGTATATCTCGCCTCTGTCTCTGCAATAAGACGGGGCTTAAACTCCTGTGCTGTAGTCTTGGTTGGCCGTTAGTCATAATGATGATTTAAGCACTCCATTCGAATTGGGAGGTAGAGGGCCCTAAAATGGTGGTTTTAACCGACACAACTACCTTAGAAATACCCAATAAATATTTGCTACTTGGCTCGGAATTCCTGCAAAAATGAGTCAATTAGAAATGTTGAAACAAATTAATAGTAATGCGTGTGATAAGTGACTAAGCTTGGTAATTTCCATAAATGGGTGCAATGCAAAAAACTTCCAAGCCATTTCAAGTATGGTAAAAGTAATCCTGACTTGGTAAGTTAAAGTTGGCTAATGAACATGTTTGTGCAAACACTCCACTTTGGCCACTCGGGGCACTATACTTGAACATCTGCTGATTTCTGGACTGGTAATTAGAAATTTTGGCCGTCTTAGCAAATCCATTTACACTAAAGAATAAAGATCGTGGTCACTTTTTTTACTTTTGAGAGCATGCTTTACTTAATTTTGGCCCCGGCTCTGTCATATTTCCACGACTTATGTTTTTAGAATTGAGCATGTACTCTATCCCCTATTCACGTCGAAATAATCTCCAGTTAATCAACTGAGATATGGATGTCGTTAACATTGTTCTGAAAACTGGTGACACATTCTTGATCACAGCACTTGTTCTACCTAGGCAAATCCAGCCATGCGCTAAATGAACACAAAAATTCAACAATCATGTTTTCTTTTTTTTAAATCGCCTTCGATATATTTATAAATGTACGCATATAGGCTATATATATATTGTCTGATTTTAACAGACAATAAAGAAGACTACCTAAAAAGTGAAAGCACACTTAACTCGTCAGAAGGTTTAAAAGTGCTGTCCTGCTTTTGGAGTAAAAATAAAAACAAAATCATTCGCCTTCAGGAGAATTTTTAAGGCACAGTTATTCAAATCATAACCTTTTCCTCAGTGAGTACACCAAATACCAGGTGAAGAAGCGCATTTCAATGTCAAGTTACGTTTTTAACTCTGTCACTTCAAACGCCAATTTCGTAATTATGGCATTGTTCGGGTAAATGAGGTCATCTAAGAAAGTTTAACAATTTGCTGGTGTTGGCTTCCTGTGTAACATCAACTGACATCCAAAGATTGGCCTTGAAACCTAGTACACTGCCATGCGTTCTTCCCTTAATTAAAAGACGGTATTACAAATATTTTAAAATGGAAATTTTAGGAGCCGTTAAAACAGCTAGGAGCCGAGGGACTGAACAAAAAGCAGGTAACACTAGGTTACTTTTTACCAAAAATGATTAAACACATTCCCCAGAAAAATCAAATTCTTAGCCATTTTAACTTGTTTTGAACAGATAAATATTTTCTTTATTGCGGTACTTTAATTTATCTGCTTGCAAACGCAGCTCATGGCGGAAAATCCATGAACAGAACTCTACATTATTTTGAACGGTTTACTGCGTTGGAAATTCGTTTTATCAAGATGGCCTGTTTTCGGGACTTAATCATACTGAGAGAGTCAATTTTTGCATCCATGACTGCTACACTGCCAAATTCTGTGATTAAACTGTGCGATCTGACAACGGCATTTTGTTCTGGAAAATGACTTAAAATTTGATGCTTAGTATACATTCACTCGGGTTGTGCAATTATTCAGATCTACCACCTATAATACCAATTGAAGGGTGTTGACTTCTCTGTACTTTTAGTAGGTGTTCATTTTGAAAATTTAAAAATAAGGAAACCCTGAACATCTAGTACTTGGCAAAAGACCTGCTGGGTTGAAGTTGCCATTATAACAAATGGATGTTTTTTTGCTTTTCGGTAAATTTATGATTAAGGGTATGCGTAATTAGCAAGAATTTGTTGGTTATGAAGTCGGTGAATTTGAATTCGGGAAATGTTTGCATTAAAGTAGCAGTCAACTACCTTACATCAGTCTTAATGTATAACATCCCTAACTGTTCTTTTTATGACAATTTCACTTGAAGGTTACACATTGCCACAGATGCATTTAATCATTACTGATTTGGTCCGCAAGACAGAGCAAAGTCTTGGCATTGATCCTGAATGGAAACTGCGCAATGTCTGACCTGAATAACCTCATGGTGAAATCATGTAAGTAATGGTCAGGATATAAAAAAAATGCAATTGGTTTATACATGGAGAAGAAAGTTGCGTGAGGCCCAGTGCCATTCTATATAAGACTTTCAGAGGTTATTATATTTCAAACCGTCTGAATTCGTTCGAATTTGTAACATAGGAATTCCTTGCCGAGGTATTTCTCGACGCACAGAAGATTACATCAGAATCAAAACGTCGCATGTTTTTTTAATTTTTCGCAAAGTTCTTTAGTAGCTAAAGTATGGATATATACAAAAGATTATGCAATGCCATAAAAACATGAGTGGTCTTATTTGAAATGGAGTTAAATGATAAACTGAAATTTGTTCGGGTGGCTTTCAAAAACAAGAGATTGGAATTTTAACCAGTAACAACAAGTAGCAAACACCGCATTAGGTAGGTCAATCGTACATTTCTTTTGAGACCGGAACCCTCTTGATCTTTAATACTTTTATTTCGCTGTTACTGTTGGGGATGCACGATTCCCCAAGATTGGTTTCTGATGCCATTTACACTTATTCACTAACATGTGAATTAGTTTCACTTTCGACACTGCACTCTGCACGTGGCTGACGTGAATAACGCTCTCTACACGAGCTCTGGTCTTGTTCCTGTATTATCCTGGGAAGGTCGGTTCTAGCGTCAGCAAGGGATCTGGTACCGTTACTTGAGTGGTTTTCTCTTTTTGTTACGGGCAAACGTAACAGTTTCATTGATCTAGCACTTGGTATTCTACTTGGTTTCATAATGAGGTTTTACAGAGTCATATTCTAATTTTACTACGCTTTCTTAGCCCTATGCAGATTTTTAATGAGTGTGCAGCAAGTAGCTTCAGTGGTGTTAAGGCTTAGAATTTAGCGCATGCGAAAATTTATTCGTGCTAAAGACTTGACTTACAGCTTGAATGGACTTTACGTAATTTGCCACATTGCCTTCGCAACGAAGGAGTGAGACACCGCCGTTGAAAATGGAGCAGATTACCATGCCAAGGGAGAAGATGTCAGCCAGGGGTGACATCGCATGGTGCAGTTGAACCTCTGGAGCAATATAGTCCAAGTCTGGTTGCAAATTACGCCCTCCTTTCGGATTAAACCCCGTAAAGTTGGCTTTGTTCTAAAACGCAACAACGTGGCCCGTGGTCAATTTTTAACATGCAGGGCCAGATAACATCGCTCTGCTTGACTGCGTGCAATTTGCTGTGTCAGACTTCAACCATTCGGGGAACAAAAATTATGTTTGCGGTGGTGTTTTTTGTTATTGCACAGCAATGCAAAACAGCTATTCACTAAAGCATGTGATTTAATTTGCTGCTGATAAACAGAAATTTCTGGGCAAAAAGTTGTCAAAAAACATCTTTATGAACAGTATTTTAATTCGTTTCGGTCGTTCCCAAGCACACGTGATTTTTAAAAAAATTGGATTGGGTGTAGTATTGATAAAAAGCGTTGATGATAAATAGCCACCCTTGAGAAATTCGTGCTTCCCTAAGTGGCCATCGAAATCTGCGCAGAGTTTATCGCTTAAAAGCAGAAAATTGAGGCTTGAAAAATGCCGCGGCGGCAGAAAAAACCCATTAATGTCTTCTCGATTAGACATATAATCATTGCTATGAAGGAGGACCTGTCTGTGGGCACTTAACAATACAACACAAAACTGCGGCTTACTTTCGTTGAGTCTGTGGTGCTTTCCACCAGCGCAAAACCGCCCAGCTTCCATTGCGACCGAATGTTGATGAATATTGACGAAGGACAGAGGTTACAGTGCATCAGATTTTGGGTTCCGTGTAGGTAACGCAGAGCATCAGTGATCTTGACGAAGAATTGACGCATAAGCAGCTTAGAACCCAATTTTGGTGCAAATGAAGTCATATCAAATTACATAACTGGAATTCCAGGATCCAACGTTGTTTTATGGATTCTGCAGACTTAAAAAGTGTCTTGAATTCTATGTAATTATGTATGAGTGCCGGAAATGTACACACTAGCTTTTAAAAAAATGTAAAATGAATTAATTGTGATAATGTCATATAGGAAAATGGATCAAAGTTTAGGGAGTGTTGAATGGCCTTGTTTAAGTTTGTTACACATGTCGTAAAAATTCTAATTAAATGGCTATTTATGTCTGTCATAAGTGAAATCGCTTGCTTCTTAAGCTCAACTGATCTTGTGATTTTGAAATTTTGTCACTTATAAATACAAAAAAAAAACATTTGATTTATGTATGGGCATTTGGTCTTAGGCTTAACTTCTTGAAAATGGATATTTCATGCCTAAAATGTAAGGAAAGTGTTGGATGAGCAAATTTGCTGACTATTAAGCAATATTCACTATCCGATAACCAAATGTGGAAGGGATCAAAGCTATATCATCATTACAATTAGTTCTTCTTGAATCCCCATTTTGCCACTTCTGGTTCGTGCTTTTTACATTTATGAAAGTTCTCCTGTTAAAGCTTTTGTAAAATAACATGTAGGCTTATTTCACAAGTCAGAATACTATAAGCAAACTGATGTCTTTGGACAGCACAAATGTCATAATTGATAAATCTCATTTTCGAAGCAAAGCAACAGGAAAAACAGTGCACAAAAAGGTGATTGGGGCTTTCAATTAGCTCCTGTTTGACGAACATCCTGTCCATAAAATCCATACTTTTAACAAAATGAACAGAACAGTTTGTATCTTAGAAGCAGCATGAGTTGTATTAACTGTTAAATATCAATATTCAGAATAATTTCGAAACTAAATGTGTCTGTTATTGTACTAGTGAATCAGCCAGTATAAAACTTAAGAATGAGCTGCTCTCGGAAAGGCTTAATTTTAACAACTTTAGGAATACATTTGCAATGGGGGCTTCTATGTATCCGAATTAGTTAATGCATCCATCTTGAAACCATTCATTTTGTTAGTGTTTATCATTAAATCCTGTGACTAATATCGTTTGGGAGTATTTCAATGATACTGATCGTTGGCTAATTATTTGCCTTAAGTTTATTCTAATTGGCTGTGCTTAGCCCTAGGAATCTTACTTGGAACACGCCAAGAATGATTTCAAGATCCAATCCCAGATGTTGCTAAAATTTGCAAAACAAAAAAAATTAGACATTTGCATCATGTTAACCACTACATTAGGAGACATTCCACTTCCTGGATATGTGAATTTCGGTCTATTTACTATTGAATTCAATTTAATATGCAGAAAACACCACGCACCTACTAGAGGAGTTTTCGCAAAATGCGCACCAAAGCCACACAATTCAGGGTACCTTTTCTATAGCTGGCACACCTGCTAATTTAGTCAAATTTTTAACCAGGAAGACACAAAACTAAAAGGCAGAACTTAAACGGATTGAGCTCAATCTGCTTCTCCCATTTAAGTTTTAGTTAAATCAGCATTGCATGTGATCTCGTATCCTTGTGAATTTTATTTGACCCAATTGCACCGGCTTTAGATTGGGAAGCAGTGTAGTATAAATGCGCTGAAGGAGGCCGATTTTGGTTTGCATTATATGTTCGTCATTTACCTCTTGTATTTTGAGACGAAGGTAGTCTAAATGTGCACCAGGTACTTCGACACACACAGGCGTGCTCATTTCACGATTTGATCCAATTGGTTTTGATGCCACACCGGAGCGCTTCACAAGTCTCGAGGTCAAACAGACACCAGGGACCTGTATCAGACTGAATTGCCCTTTGAATAAGAGCAACGGAACCAGTTTTGCGCTAATCTTCAAAGCTATTAGTTGCTAAAGCCCGACTAAGTGTAGGAGGACAAGAGTCTCTAGGTTCCTGAATGTAACTGAATGCAGCGGAGACATTCCTGGTTAAAACGAGTTGACAATCTTACACTTACATCGGGTACCTTAAAGGGAAAAGTGGGTACCTGACGCTATTTGGGTTGGCTTTGAACAAATAGCAAAGGGATTATCTTGCCCATCACTTATACCTTAAAAAATAATATTAACTTAAAATGATTAACATTTTCTGCAAAAAAAACACTTGATTGCTTGACTTACGCCTTTAGGAGATTTTTCAAGAAGGGTCTGGAGAGTGCCGGTTAAGGGTTCACAGGTCCATGAAAGATAATAGCTAGTTTGTTGTGGAGAAGAAACATCAACTGAATATTAAACTGTCGGTCATTTTTGCATTTTTGATTATAAGGATGAACTAAAGGGCAATTTTCGTTTCTTCGATAGTCTTGTGAAAATATTAGCAGATTTGACGAATGCTTTTCAACATATGTTCACTTATTTTACTAAAGGACATTTTGTTTTTTGTGAGCTAAGGAATTTGTCATCTACTTACATTACCTTTAAGTAAATTTGACGAAACATTCATTTACTTTTATTAAGTGATGATGAGACATCAAATGTCATCCTCTTGTGTCCATTAATTATTTAAATATTGCTTTGTAGTTTTAATGGATCACTTCGCTAGATCTTACAACTTGCTTGTTTTAGCAATAAAACTAAAGGTTAAAATATTCACTTTCTAGTTGAGACAAAGGGCCGTAAATTACGAGGTCGTTTAACGTAGTAATTCTAATACTTTGCTTGTATAATTGACACCGTGATAACAGGGTTACGCAAAAATTTCACCATAACACCAGACATTTCTGATTTTTAGCTAGCATCTAACAGATATTTTCATCGATTTCACCAAACACTCGCAACATTCAAAGTTATTTGATTGAATTCATTTCAAAATTCTATTGAAAGATTTCAAAGCTTGACCGGTGGCCAACGTTAATATGAGATTTCTCATAAACCTCATTACAAGCGTCTTTGCAAAGAAATATCTTTACATTGAAAAATCAAACAATTTATTACCAGTTTTCTTCTGCCTCAGAGAAGATTTTTAAAATTCTCTTATGATGGTGAATGCGAAGTGCTTCGATTTCCTTACGACAGGCTTCGAAATTTATGTCAACCTTTCGCGTCTTTCCGGCCTTATCTGTGACGAATTTGGGCAGAACGAAAGCAGAGCATGCCTGTCAATTTAAAACATTGAAGAAAAAAAATCAGGTGAATTTCGGTGTCTCATATGATATGCAAACACCGAAAAAAACCCCATGCAAGCTGCAAGAAGCTTCGATTAATTTTACCATTTGGTAACTGAAATACCTACGAGCAAGTGTATACAAAACAAGTTATTAAACATGGGTACAATTATTGCAAAACGACCTTGTGGGTATGAGCGTTGTTGCCTTTTAAGGGCCTATTATGTTTGTTTTTGTACCATTGGTAAACATTTGTCGCTAATAACTACCTAAATACAGGGGATACACATAAAAACTGTAAATTAGTTTCTAAAATTACCTTTGTATTATTTTCTGGTACAACAGCTGAGAACTGCAAACTTACCCGTTAATAATTAGGTTACATTTTGACTGCAAAAGTGTAGATGGCATGTACCCTACCAACTTTTGATGCTTACATTACGATCCTTAGTGAAAGTAAGAAAACGTTTCAACACCTTTCAGAGATCATGATATTAAACGATTTATTTCCGACAGAAATGGCAATATGGCTTTATGTTTGCAACTTAGTTTAAGTAAATTTAGGTTAAAGACATCTGAATATGCGATTCACGAAAATGACTTTGAAACACTTAAAAATGAGTGCAAAAATGTAGCAAAGGAAAGAGAGGCATTTCATCAGTTTATTCAATTATTGCATGAATTTCCATAAAAAATATTTCTTGTCCAATACAGAGCTTTATTGTCTCCAAAGCATGCTATTTTAGCTAGTTACTGAACTACCAGAAGATAACTAAGCTTATGTGGAATCTTAGGAGTCCCAAGTGGGACCTTCTTTAGCATAATCCAAAGGCGTTTGGACTCGGGGGTCCTACATTCCTTGGATCTTAGTATTGTGGCTCTGCATTGCCTCCCTAAAATTAGTGGAAAGTAAGATTTTGTAAACAACTGTTAAAAAAATTTCTGATGTTTGTAGCACCTATCTATGTAGAAGGGTAAAATCATCCAATAGTTTATTAGGCAATCTGCTCCCGACAAAAGCGTCTTTACGTTCTAAACCAAATTCAAACTATGACGTCTTCGCAATTATTAATAGAATCCATTTTTTGTGTTGTTAAACACTGACGTATCTATACATGAGAAGCATGGACAAAAAATATGGTGTCAGGCAGAAAGTCTACTATAAAAGAACAGTTGTTTACCAAACCCGACAAAACAGCTCTAAAACCACATATGCTTATTTTTGTATGATTCCTTCCTGCGGAAAGAGCGAGTTCCATGCAAAGCCATCAGTTGTCACTGTAAATCCCAGTCTCAGAACTTAAGATGGAACCGGCCTAAATCTAGTTGCTTGTACATGTAAGTGACTGCCAATTAAAATGTAGAAGTCCGGGAGTCCAACAATGTGGCAAACCTTGTACCGACGAAAAAGGAACTTCGTGTTGTCTGCGAGCTCATTTGGTGTGGTGTTGCTTGTGGTAAGGAAAATTTTTTCCAATAAATTATTCACATTAAGGCCCTTTGGGTATTCGTGAAGCCTGTTTTCATGGCGAATTTCAGAAACTTTTCGTGCATGCACTTTCACGAATCTGATGAAGAATCACTTCAACCGTGATATTCACGAAAAGTCGAGGAATTTAAGGTTATTCAGATTGCACTCATAAGATTGTACAAAACCTACCTTTTCAACGTTAAGCAAAGGGATAATTTCATTAACAGATTAGAACACCCTAATATTTGAGGATTTTAATTATTGTGAAAGTCGTTAAATATGAGGAGACGCCTATATTTAGGTTCTTCAATGGCAATTCTGTGTGTGTAAAAATAAATTAAAATAGTTCACAAGTCCAACACACTTTAAACACTCCTACGCTTAATGTTCACTCACTTTTTATATCCAATGTAATTTTGCTAATCTGCTACCTTCGTCACCGTGTCGGCAAAGAGATTTGTGTAGAAGTTTTGCTAGATTTACGTTAATTCGCCCATGTAAAGCAGCTTACCCATATTTGGACTGCTTTAAGTAATTTTGTATTGCTTTTGATAACAAGCCAGTCTTAAAGTCACATTTAAGCCAAAATATTTATTAAACCACGAAATATTTTCGAGACTTCAAGTCTATAGACGTTTTGTGAAGGGACATTTTTGCTAAAAGGACAATGATTTTTCCTTTAAAGAATAAACGGCGATTTAAACCGCTGTTTTAGAAAAGCCTTACCTCTTTTGAACTCTGGAGTTTGGCCTCATAGACCTGCCAACAGAGTTCAAGACCTGCTTTGAACAGGGGCTTTCCTAAGACGGTGACCTTTTCCAGTGGTGCAGGCAACGTATCTGGCTGTGCCTGATTCCGACGCATACCAAGTCGAGACATTTCTGGCATCTCCAATTACGGCTTGTGAAACAACGTTGAAAGGCCCTGAAACACGACAGAGTTTCGTAGAAGCTAAATTGAAGCAACAAAAGTTTTTGTTCAATGACTCACTAAATGTTTTGGGCAATTAATTCGAGAGCAGAAAATTACTAAGCCGTCAATTTATGTGGGCTGCTAATCCTTATCAATGTTAATCTTGCACTTTACCTTCCTACCAATCACGTAACCTAGTACCTACCTCTTACTAAAGCCAGTTAATTTGATCTTCATGCTATTTTGATATATTTGCTTTCAGTGTCTTTAACCAGTGCAGCGTCCGCTTTCTAATTGCGTTGGCCCACTATCCTCTTAAGCCACCTCAAAGGAGATTTCCTACTGAGTGGTGTTGGTGTAATTTACATAGGGAACCAGTGAACACTGAGCTCACACTTAGTCAAACAAGTACAGGCAATTTGCTGAATTCAATTAATCCAAATTTAATACTAAATTTTCTAGTTCTAGATAAGTTTCAATGAAAAGTAAATATTCCTTTTTAGTAAACGCATTCTCGTCATACGGCTGATTTGTTCTTACATGGGCTCAGTCGATTTACCGTGGTTACTGTTATTATACGATGGGCCTGCGGATGAATGAAGATGTCATTATAATGTTGAACAGAAATGTTTAGCATCCAAATGCTGCCACAGGTTAAAAGACAACAATAAGATGCGGTGTTTTAATTAAATTTTACACAACTTAATCATCCAGAAAGCACAAACTACTGTGTATACTTCTGATTAACACGAATCCAGGAATAAACAAATTGTACCGTAGAATTTGGAAGGCAACAGAATTAAAATAATGGATGGTTGCATTATTTCCTTCTGCATACAAACAGTTGTGCGCAAAATTTAAACAATTGTAACATTGCCTTGCATTGTTTTAAGGGGCCAGACAAATTCTAAATGGAACGTCCAGTAGCAGGTTGAGAGTTTCTGACTAAGCGTGATATCTGCGGATTATTTTGTATGCCCGATTCTAGAAGTGGACATTGCTTGATTTTAAAATTGACTTGCACGGAATCCGTTTTATAAAATGGAAGCATCAAAGACTAAACCCCTAAACTTTAGGTAGCCAAATAATATTACCTTACCATTAGGAAGAATATGGGCTTATCAATCCACCGTAAATCTGAGCGAGGTGGTACAGCTGCATGACTGAATAAAATATAAGCAGAAAGGGTCTTCACAAAGACTTTGCTGGCAGTCTGGATAATCAGTAAACGGCTGTTAGTAGTGGTGGTGCAGAGAGGTAGGAAGTGGTTGGAGGGAGGAGGGGCAGGGGGTAATGTTGCTCCATACCCTATCGTGTATGGTCTATCAAATAAATTTATCTGATTGGACAATAAACTGAGGGGCTTCACCAATCCATGAGCCTCAAGTCTGCTTTTGATCAGCGTGGCTGCGAAATAAGAAAGTACACGTGTGCAAGGGCACTAATCAAGCCTGGCCAAATATCATTGACTTAAGAATGTCTGCTAGGGTTGTCTGGTGGAGAACGAGGAGCAAGCATTTGGGGAATCGAGTTAACTCCGGCTGAGGTGAGCACTTCTTCGTGTGCTAAACTCTGTACAAGAGAGACTTCTCCCTTTAGGTTTGGTGTTTAGAATTCCGCAATTAAACAAAATCGGGTAAACCTGTGTGACTTTTTGAAAGTGTCGCCCAAAAAACGTTAACCCGCTCTGAATTTACCTTGACACCTGAAACCTTAAATGTACTAAGTAAATTCGCAAAATTTCTTGGTATTAAAATTCCAGTAATCATCAGTTGACCTTTCCATTCAGACTGCCATAGCGTGAAAAGGTCAGCGGCAGAAATGTGTTATAAAATTACAAATCCCAGTTAACCGACTGAAAGTCAAATAAAATGCAGGATAAATGTCAAAAATAAAAAATTCAAAATTGACCCTCTGTTGTCACGGGAGGTCAGCAAATGCACACTATCCATAATATCTTGCGGTTAAACTACGTTGCATTAAACACACCGCAAGACCATCCTGTACTACCCAACTTCTATGACAAAAGCAATATCAGGATAAAGGCTTTTACTGTGAGACAGTCTGTCAATAAATGCGGGTATAAAACTGCTTCGAAAAATTACTTAATCTGTTATTTACAGAAGTGCAAATGGACACGGCTTGGAAGTCTTTTCATTGCTATCTTTCCCGATAGAAGCCTGTCAATTGCAATGTGTTTTTATCTGTCTTGTAAGATTAATGCCATTAAACGGATCACGAGGGAAAAATGAGCCGCCTGCTTAAAAATAACGTTAATCATTCTGATAAAAAAGCACTAAAATAAGTTGGATAATTTGACGAGTGATTATAGTGAAAAGTAAAGCAGTTATGATATTTGTTTTCGTGTTTTATTCCTACGGCATGGTAATAAATATGTTTGGCTTTTTGTTGATTTAAAGATTTTACGAATGTAGAATCAAATGAATTGTGCTTCTACATTTTTGCAAATTTGTTTTTTGCGATTGTCAAAAGAACGCACTGACCATCCTGATTCTTATCAACAACGCTGGTGATTTTGCTTTAAATACTTACTTTGGCGTGAGTAGTCGAGTATCATTTTGAAACTAAATGACTTAAAACTATGGCAGAATTGGTCTCGTTTGAAAAAGCATTGGTGACAGGAAGTGAAGAGGAGAGCTGTTTAAAGGCAACGTTGTTATGGAAAAGAGGAGGCATTTTCCAAAAGTTACACAGCGAATGAAATGAAAGCTCTGCGAAGAAATCGGTGATTTGATGTACAAACCCGATTTACCTTGCATTGTTAATGCCCTCACCCCAATGCCCTAGGGCTTATTTTTTCATGGTAGTAAAATATTTCTTGTCTCTAGGGGTGTCATCAGCGTGTCCAAAACACATGCTTAACTGGTGATCAACCTAAGCAACGACAAGCAACTTTGAGTATTAGGTGGGTGATGTTTTACAGAAGCACATGTGTTACGCATAATATCGATCCTGTCTTGCAAAACTGGTCTTAGTTGCAGGATAATTGGTAGGTTTCAACAGCTTAGTTGAAAATATGCTTGTAGTTTGCATTCATTTATTACCGAACCGCCACTGTCCGCGAAACTGAGTCCTAAATGATGCTCAAGTGAAGGTCATATGTCCAGCTGCTTTTGACCGCGCATTTTCACAGTACCTTCATTCGAACCCATTTTTCTAACAAGAAATGTCAACTGTTCACCACATAAGTCAAAAGGCATCAAAAAAATCACCAGTTGATAAACAAAACGGCAGACTATCATGAAACAACGTCGGACATGAATTCAGTTTTTCAGATCCCACCAAGTAAACTTAATCATAAATTACCCAACATTCCTAAGGTTACGTAGTGATCATGCGAAACAACAAGGCATAAATGTGTTGCGGCCCTTCGGTGGGGTTAGAAAACTACACCAGGGCCGACGATATACACTAACGAGGCTGGACTGAAAGAAGCTTTGAAAATGCAGATGGCGAGTCGCTCGATTAATTTATTAAAGCAGTAGCGGGGTGTGTGTGTACAGGGCAGTAGGTGTGTTTATATAGCTCTATTAAGCATCGATCTCTGAACGGAGTTGGGTGAAGTACATTAACGAAAATCGATTGAATTGTGTTCGCTCACGCTTGCAAACTGCGTTTGCTCGCGACTGCTAACTGCGTTTGCTTGGTGCTCGCCAAAAATGTTATATTTATCTACAGTTTTTAGGTTGTTGTCGAATTTGAAAATTATGGTTCCTTTCGGCTAACAGAATATCTGATTACGTGTATCTCATGTAGGGTTGTAAAATAATGAACAGCTCAAAAAACACCGTTGTAGGTAAATTTAATTAGTGGTCATGGTTATTGTTTTTAAAATTTTACTTAGCTGCTCAACAAACTGTCCACAGATTTTTACCTCGAAATGACGCATTATTTTTTCTACGATTTGATCACATGAGGGAAAAAATAATGCTAAATCGATTAACAAAACTTCTTGAGTCGAGAGAGAATAGAACGGGCAATTTAGTTGCTTTTTCACTGAAGATGTTTATTTATGTTATCTCAATCGTTAATGTATCATTGTGACCAATAAAGGGGCACATGCTGTAGCGTGTCTTAGGCCCCACTAACGGCCGTGGCATGTTGGCAGAATCTACACTCAAGATAACAACGAATCGCCAGTGGATTAGAGTGGTAGCAAATGACTGCAATGATGTGTAAGCCGCATTACATCCCATCCATTATTGACACCCTCAAGGCCCGAGAAAATCACGGTGAACAGCGACAGGACCAGGTGGGAGCAACCAACCATTCCCTCTCTGGGTATGTTGTTTCGTTGTGGATGTAGGCGTGTTTGTAAAGGATTCGGAGAAACAAACGAAAAGTAAAGTCAAGCCACGGATATTCCTCAGCTGAGGGTAATTCCACCTTTCAGTTGGGAGTCCGGTGCAAGATCCCCTGGCAGCATGAATTCACATGTACCCACAGATCACTCGTAATATAAACTAACTCCACATCGCATTCGCATCAACGCTCAAAATGGGATGGCTTCATTGGCATGACTAAAGACAATCTTTTGTGTAGAATAAATTTGATAAGCAATTACCGTAACCGAAGCTTTTCACTGTTCACGAACGTTTCATGCACAATCTTCAAGTTACGTTTACATACTATTATATGTAATTCAGTTTAAAAACCTATGGTAATAAATCTTCTGTCATGGAACACACTTGGTGTTTTCAAGATGAAGTCAGTTAACCTTATGCGGCTCTTTTCATTGTTGCCACTTTTATTCTACATTTTTAGCAGAGGCAGCAGCATCTCAAATATGGAAATGCTTGTGACCAGCAATGGGGCATTGTTGAGGGTGAATCGTCCTGATTTAAACGAAATCACACAACCCGGCTACCATAGGTTGATTACTATGGCTATTCGCTAAGGGAATCTGCTCTGATTTTCAGTGTTATTCTTTTTGCTAGTGTGTAGTCATAGCTGAA